CCGCGGCCGCCGCGGGTACGGCGGGCGCCGCTGGCACCACGGCGTCGCTCATTAAGTCCGAGCCGAGTGCGCGACCGTCGTTCAGCATCGAGAACATCATCGGTGGGGGCCCCGCGGCGCCCGGGGGCTCGGCGGCGGGCGCTGGGGGCGCCGGGGTAACTGGGGGCACCGGGGGTAGCGGGGGCGGCGGGGCGGCACAGTCCTTCCTGCGGCCGCCTGGGACCGTGCAGTCAGCAGCGCTCATAGCCACGCACCAGCCTCTCTCGCTGAGTCGGACGACGGCGACCATCGCGCCCATCCTGAGCGTGCCGCTCTCTGGACAGTTTCTGCAGCCTGCAGCCTCGGCCGCCGCCGCTGCCGCCGCCGCAGCGCAGGCCAAGTGGCCCGCTCAATAGGGACGTGCCGGTGGCCGGGATGCTGGGCCCGGCGGCGGCCTCCAGCGTCGGCTGCATTTGCAAGCTGCGCGCCCCGCCCCGCTCCTGGCCCCCCTGCCCAATCCTGGACTTTGCCTCTCTTCCATTTCCTTCCTCCAACCCGTCAACACCGACCTTCGGCGGCCTCCACCCGGTCCTGCATACCTAGGCTGGCGGAGCAAACTCTCACCGCTCACCCGCGGGGAATAGCTTTCCGTACAGGTAAAACCGAAAACCGGATTTCCGAAAATGTACCCCGACGGCGCCTGCTCTCAGTACCTTGGGGATGGGAGGGAAATTCTTTGTATATATTTGTATAAAAATTATTGACTTTCCTTTTGGGGTTTTTATTTTTTTAAGAAAAAACAAATTCAGTAGATTTAGAGCTCTGAACTTTCATTTTTTCTGAAGGTTCACTCTCCGCAGTTTTATGTGAGAAAAAAATGTATAGAGATGTTGGGAGATTTTAAATATTAAAAAATTTTCACAAGGCGAAAAGTGTCATTCTATTATAAAAGTCTGTTTATATATGAATGAATATATATGGTATTCTAAATGTTATTCCATCGTGTTGTACACAACTTTGTAAATAAAATTTTTAAAGGCTCAGCCTAGTGTTTTATTTAGGTGTCTGAGATAAATGACAAGATTTTAAAATAGTATTTGCATTTTATTTTCCCCAGATATTGGAGGAGTTTCAAGGAATGGCCTTTACAGACTTTGCTAATTCATGATTTGGGTGTAAGAAATTTTAATTGGAGAAAGAATATACCTAATTTAAATTGTATTAATATTTTCTTTTAGTTTTCATATAAAATCGGGATGTTGGTGGTGATCTCCTTCCTAATCAATTCATTAAATCTAAATGACTAGATATTTCTGAAGATAAAGTAAGCTGCCATTTAAAAAACCAACCTAATTCTAAACATCAGCACAATTTAAATATTTTTTAAATACAAGACTTTATCTTTCACAATGAAAACTTCTCAAATGAGAGTTCTTAGTCGTTTCAATTATCCTTTCAAAAAAATGTTAATTCCAAACATCTCCCTCATTTTAGCATGTAAAGCCTTGATTTTTCAAACTGTTTATTTTCATCCCCTAAGTGGAAGTGGTAATAAACCCAATTAACTTTTTAAATATATGTATGGCATTTTAAATTTTGCAGTGGGGTTGTATTACCTATATTAACCTGATAGATGATACATAGTTGTTTTATTCTTTCATAATATGTTCAAATAAGATACCTCTTTTCTATGACAGTAGTCCACAACATAATTTGGATTTCTGAAGGATTCCTGTAGATGCCTCCTCCAACCCGCAGCTTTTCCAAAGGCCAAGAAATAGTGGCCTTAATATCCTTTGAAAAACAGATGCACATCACCCCGTTTTTTAACCTTTTTAAAAATACCTTAGGCTAGTTTAGTGTGAAATGCGAGATCACAGAGCAGG